GTTAAACAATAAGCTAAAAGTTAAACAAGAGGGGTAACCCACTTTCCAATTTCCAGACCCCCTTCTGTCTCTCTTATACAGAAGCTTTCTTTCTCTCAAATTTTTCCTACTCTTTAAACAAACAAACAAACAAACAAGATGTCAACAAAGTTAGGCAAGTAGTCTGGAAAAATCACAGAAATTTTTTTACCTAAATCAGAAAGCCAGTTCAAGAGATGGTGAAAAGCAAGTACAGTAAGACTTGTGCTGCCATCTAGAGGTTAGTGGCTACATGACTTTTCTCCTCAAATCAGTTAAAGGCTGCTAATTTAACTATTATAGGTAGTACCAAATAGGCCTTCTAATGAAAGTCAGACAAATAACCTTGATGTGATGCCACAAAGAAGACTATCCAGGGTATATGAGTAGAAGCTATTCTCTTTCCTCTTCCTTCACAGATTAACATTAGCATTCAACAGAGCTGTCTTGTGGAATTTTACTTGGATGGAGAACAATTTTTAAATACAAATGTCCACTTTCACAGAATCATGTTCCTAGAGGGTAGGGAAGTGTACTATAACCACAGGTTAGCTTGGAAGCACTAGGTTCCCTTTGGTACCACCACCAAAGAAGGTTGTAACAAATAGTTTCTGGTACAGACAACTTACCTGTATCAGTACAGATAAATGAGATGAAGTTTAAATGAGATGTCTCAATCATTTTTAGACTAAAACTTTTTAAAACTACAGAGTGATTATATTTAACCAAATAAGAGTCCCACTGAAATTACTAAGTGAACAAAAAGGATTAGACTATAAATCAGCAGAAGAAGCTACTTTTATCAAAGTAAGCTAAATTCCTTAACACTTTTTTTTTTTTTGGTACCGGGGATTGAACTCGGGTCCTTGCACTTGAGCAGCAGGCATTGAAACCACAGAGCTAAACCCCCGGCCCCACCTTAACACTTTTTTAAAAGGCAATATACTTAGTGTTTACATTAAAAAGTACCAAGCAGGATGTGGTGGCACATTCCTGTAATCCCAGCACTTTGGGAGGTTGAGGCAGGACAAACAAGTTTGAGTCAAGCCTGGACACCTTAGCAATTGAGCAAGACTTTGTCTTAAAATAAAATTTAAAAATTTAAGAAAAGGCTGGGGATGTAATTCAGTGTGAAGGCCCTGAGTTTAACCCCGGTACCACAAAAAACACATACACCAATAGGTACCTACAAAAAAAACCCATAGCTAAAACCAATGATTCATAAACAAAGGACAAAAGAAAAGGAAATGGAACTAGAAAAATTAACCTGGCAGTAGTAAACAAGATGGACTGGATTAAGAGGCACGGAGACCAGTTAGAAGATGACTTCAATAGTCCCAGTACAAGAAAAAAGGCACTGAACTAAGATGAAAGTAACAGAAATGGAATTCTTTCTATGCTAAAGCAGAGTTTTACAACTTTTTATAGCTCTACATATTTCAAAGGAATTTCAGATAAGTGCCCAAATCAAACCAAGAGGCCCCAATCACCTGAGAGGCTATTAAATTACTGTAACAAAAGTTATTGCCTTCCAAAATCTGCACACCAAAAGGGTTATATGAGGTATAATCACGTACCAAATCAAAAGGTTCATCTTCCAAAAGACACAATCTAGTTATTATCAGCTCTAGAAGATTCACATTATTTCTGCACTAACATTTAACAATGCTCTTGAGAAATGACAAACAATCATGTTTTGAGGACAAATATTTTTAGCATTTTTTTTCTTTCCATCATCTTTATCAGTGCAGATATTTGCATGAAAACAGGATCACTGGTCCTTGGGGATTCATCAGTTCCTATTGCTTATTTTTCATCCATGTCATCCTCTCAATTAATGTAGGAAAGAGGATTGAGACATCAAAACACCAGATTAGGATGTCAAGTAAAAGCCAACCCCTAGAGTGGATGAAAAATCTGTAAGGACAAAAAAAAATCTTGTTTTTATGCAAATACACTTAACACAATAAAACAAAGAGACTGTATTCAAGAAGTCCAATACACATCAGTGAACTATTTCCAATTCTAACTTTAAAAACTCTTTATATCACCTAAATTCACTATAGTCAAGGAAAATGGCAATTAGTTAAATACTGCAATAGAACCTGAAATAAAGTTGAATTTTGAACTAGAAGATAATTTTAAAGACTCTCAGCTGTGCTAATGGGAGAACTCTGGCAGAAATAACCATTTGTTGTGTAGTTTGGGTTCAGTGCTTAAGGTGGCTGAGTTAGGTGACTTCAAGTCCCTTAAGGTTATGGAAATGTGAAACAGTAAGGACAGCTTTAATTGTGCATATTAAAACAAAGCAAAACAAAACAAAAAAAGACCATATACAACTTAGAAAACTACTTTTGGGATTGCTTGGATTAGTACAAAACTTTAATTTTTGAAGGAAATTACATGTCATAATACTACTCTCAAGATTATGGATTAATGATGGCCTCAGGTTCTAATCACTGTATTTATGTTGAGTATCTATAGTCTTTCAACTATCAAGTGAGACTTTCTTATAATTCCTTTTCCAGTTTTATAATGAATGTAGTATAAGAAGGGACACAATGTGAAAAGAAATCATTCTAAAATTAAAAAACGGAGAGCAGACAGGCATGGTTGAGAAATTTAAAAAGCATTACTCATGGTAGCAGAAACATTCTTGGTCTGTCACATGTCTCTTCCTTTAGGGAACCACTTTTTTCCTCCCATTCCACATGATGAGTCACATACTCCCTCTAATCTGCACCTGTATCTAGGATGCCAGCCTGGTGCATCAGAGTTCCATCTGGCCAAAGGACTCATTCAAGAGATGGTACATGAGCCAACAGAAAACAGTCAGTCTTTTAATTTATGTGAACTAATAAAGTTTTTTCTTTGGCTTAAGACAGTTTGAGTTGATCTATCACTTAAAACTGTAATGGCTCCAACAGACTTTTATTGCACAGAGGAAAATAATTTGTTACCTAGTAAATCCAGTAATTATTCCAGCACACTCTCCATAAAAGGCACACTTCAGATTACACTGACCCCTTAACTTCAGATTACTTATCTTTTCCCAAATAAGGAAAAATTATATTTTCCAGAATTACAACTAGAACTCATCATGGAATGCACAACATGTAACCCTGAATAAATGTGATCTGGGTACTCACACTCATCCAGCCCCAGCTGATAGGCCAGGTTCTGTAGGCCTCGAACCTTCTCCATCAAATTAGCTGTTGTTAGGCTCCCGAGTTCTGAAACAGAACCATTTATTTCAATACTATTTCTTCTCACTATTCTCTAATAATAATTCATTTACATTGGGAATCCCGATTATAAAAATTTTCAGGTTTGGCTGGAGGGTACAGATGAATGTTGAGCTTAGCATGGTTTAATCCCCAGCATGGAAGGAAGGGAGGGAGGGAAAGGGAGAAGGGGATGAAAGGAGGGGTGTTTCCAATCATAATTCCTATTGAATAAGTGGAAAATGGATCCATATCTCTTCTCCTGAAATCTTACACACATGCATAAAAACAAGTGAAACTTTCCACTAATGTAAAAATGCCTCTGATTGAGCTTTCTCACATAATAAATTGAGTCAGCATAAAGACAGTAACAAATTGTTTTAAGCTTGGGTCAGGGATTTAGCTCAGTGGCACCACTCCGGCCTCGCAAGCGCAAGGTCCTGAGTTCGATCCCTGGTACCAAAAAACAAAAAAAAAAATAAAACAGCAAAAAAACATTGTTACCCATTTTCCTATGTTTAGAAAACAGAGGGCTGTGGGGATTTAGCTCAGTGGTTCCACTGCCTGCCTCGCAAGTGCAAGGACCCGAGTTCAATCCCTGGTACCACAAAAAAAAGAAAACAGATTAAATATAAATCCAAAATTCCATTCAAATCCAATTCCTCTTAAAAAATTTTAGGGGCTGAAGGTGTATCTCAGTGGTAGAGTGCTTGCCTAGCATATACATGGTCTTCAGCTCAACCCCTAGTACCAAAAACAATTAGGTTTTCCAAGTTAAAAATATAATATACTTAAAATAATAGCACCCAATTCCTTTTAGGTTTGAGACACAGGTCAATTTGCATGAAACATAATGGTGTGATCTCTCACTAAAAATGTAAAGTTTCCATAGAAAACACATGTCAATGGGCTATTCTATAAATGTCTGTTTGGAACATTATAACAATGAACTGAAGACGCCCTTGAGACTTAATTTTTCCATAGCTGAAGGAGGGGATCTGCATTCAAGCATGCAGAACAATGAATTGCTTCAGAAATCAAATAAAGGGTTTTCTTCTCTCCCATTTATCATGCTGCAGTCATTATCTATATCTGGCATAAGCAGACTTTCCTGATCTGTTCAGCTGTTTAAATAGCTCAAGAATCTCAGATTTTTACCTTAATTTCAGTCTATTATTTCATAACTATCATGAATCTTATCACCAGAAGGATAAAAAAAAAAAAAGAAAATTCATGGAAAATTCATGTTTTTAATTTAAATTTCTACTCTGTGATTGAGTTCTAAATCATTTATCAAATAACAATATTCATAGAATCCTTTCTGGAAGAAATTGATAGGATAGAAAGAAACAGAAGACAGGCCCCATTAAGAGACTGCCTCTTAATAGTATCGACAATATATAGCATTAAATTCTAAATAAGGCACTTTTATTGGTGGAAAGAGATTTTAAAAATTGGGTTTATGCCAGATATGGTGGTACACACTTCTAATCCCTGCACTCAGGAAGCTGAGGCAGGAGGATCACCAGCCTGGACTACATAGTGATCAAAGCCAGCCTGAAATACATAGTAAGACACTGTCTCAAAAAAAAAAAAAAAAGGTTTAAAATTTTAAATTTTTTTTTTTTTGGTACCAGGGATCGAACTCAGGATCTTGCACTTGTGAGGCAGGCGCCAGAACCACTGAGCTAAATCGCCAGCCCCAAAATTTTAACTCTTTCTAATCAATCTTAGTTAGTTAACCTCTAAACCTCAGATTTCATCACACCTATTCAACAGAATGTTTATGAAAATTAACTGAGAAAATTTATGTGAGGTTTTTGTTAACTATATCATACAAATAAAGTTTATATTAAAAGAACTAGTGGGCCAGGGATTTAGCTCAATGGTTCTGCCACCTGCCCCGCAAGCACAAGGACCCGAGTTCGATCTCCAGTACCAAAAAATAAATAAAAACTAAAAAATAAAAGAACTAGTATCAGAAGAATTCATTAGGACTGAATCTTGAAGTGGCAGGATTTCTACACATGAAAAAAGTAGAGAAAGGCATTTCACATATGAAGAACTATGTATGAATAAAGATGCTTAAGTGAGCAGTTTGAAGCCAAGAATACTTGTAAGGGAATACTGACCAAAAAAAAAAAAATTAGAAAGGTGGTTTGTAGGAGAACAATATCAAGTTAAAAGTAGGATAGGGGCCAGGGATTTAGCTCAGTGGTTCTGCTGCCTGCCTCGAAAGCACAAGGACCAGAGTTCGATCCCTGATACCAAAAAAAAAAAAAGTAGGAAGACAAGCCAGATATGGTGGCACATGGCTGTAGTCCCAGCTACTGGGGTGAGTCACTTGAGCGCAGATATTTAAGATCAGCCTATGCAACATAGTAAGACTATCTCAAAGCAAAAAATCAAAGCTATTACTTACCTTTTAACATATCAATGTCATCACGTTCTATTTCAGCCATCCACTTAGGTGGAGAACTAGTAATAGGCTGTCAGAAAATAAGAATATATCTATTAGATACATACAACTGTGAGAAGACCCTACTCTTCCTTCTTAAAAGAAATCTAGCTTCAGAATGAAAGTTCTGGGTTTAATCTCCAGTTCTGCCGAAAAGAAAAGAAAAGAAAAGTAGCTTATCACACAACCTTCAGGTTGTATGAAAATAAGAGCAAAATTGCTATGCAAGAGCAAGGTCCTGAGTTCGACCCCTGGTACCAGAAAATACAGGCAAATTATAACTATAAATGTAAACCGGGATTTCTCCAGGTTCAGATATGATCTACAGTCATCTGAAGAGATGCCAGTACTATTACTATTTCATGCATAACAATATAGTAATGAAACTACTCAAAACACTATTCTGAGCAAAAGCCTTCAATGGAACTGTTTGAAATGATAATCAGTAACATTCTCTGGCAGAAAGAAGAGCCAAGAATGAGAAAACCGGCTGGGGATTTAGCTCAGTGGTTCCACCACCTGCCTTGCAAGCACAAGGACCTGAGTTCAATCCCTTGTGCAAAAAAAAAAAAAAGAATGAGAAAACCAAGGCAAATAAAAAAGACCAAGAGGTGACAGGTATATGTACCACTTACATGTGATGAATGTATTTGTTATGTATTGTAAATATATACTAATAAAAAGTAAAACTTAGGGGCCGGGGATTTAGCTCAGTGGTTCCGCCGTCTGCCTCACAAGAGCAAAGACCCCAGTTCAAACCCCAGTACCAAAAAAAGTACAAATTAAAAAAATTTCAACTCCTCCTCTCAAAAGAAAGAAAAGCAAGCAAGCAAGGAAACCAGCCCCCATCTTAGTGACAGAAGACTAGAATGGTCATATGATCATCACTTGAACTTTCATAATTTATTGTAGAAGTTTTAAAGAACTTTAGAATTTTAGGTTATCTTCTCATTTCTGCAAATAAAATTTAAATATGAAAGAAAGCCCATTCTCAGAGTAGCTCTGAGTTAGCAGTTTTCAATCCAAGTTGCACATGGAATCACTAGTGTAGCTTTAAAGTAAGCTCCTTGGCTGCAACCTGGATATACAGGGATTGAGGGAAGGTCCCATTGAGAACAGAACAAGGGAATCCATAAATATATTTTTGAAAAGCTCCATAGTTGCACACTGATTGTTCTGTTATGTAGGGAGGGATAGGGTTAAGAAAAACTACCTCAGCTGGGGATATAGCTCAGTGGCACCGTGCCTCAAGAACAAGGTCCTGAGTTTGATCCCTGGTACCAAAAAAAAAGAGAAGAAGAAAAACTACTTCAGCTTTGAGCGCTGCCCCGCCCCGCCCCACCCCCATACTGGGGATCAAACTTAGGACCTTGCACTTGCCAGGCAGTCTCTTTCTCTTTTTAAACAAGTTCACAAAGAGGCTGTAATTCCTATGTCTCACTGCCAGGAAGCTCTGAACCACTGGTGGTACATGTATGATTGTCCCATCAGGTGGCATGAGACAGTCCCAACAGGTGGTACATGCCACCCCATGGGACAGTCATGCATGTACCACCAGTGGTTTAAGCCGGCAGGAACCTGTTGATTAAAATGTACTCAGTACTAACCATGAAATAAGCAGAACACTTTATGTCACATCATTTACCTCCAAAAAACCCCTATGAAGTAGGTATTATTGTATCCCCATTTTACAAATGAAAAAGAAAAAAATTAATGGAAATTAAAATTCACTTGGCTTAGGTCTCACAGCCATAGGTATCAAGATTTAAAACGCAGGTAGTCTGAGAACAGAAATCACTACAGACCCATGGCATGGTGGTACATGCCTATAATCCTAGCACTCAGGAGGCTGAGGCAGGAGGATCACTACAAGTTCAAGGCCACCCTGCCTGGGCTACATAGTGAGTTCAAGGCTAGCATGGACTACATAGCAAGATTCTATCACAAAACAAAACAAAGGAAGAAAAAAAGAGAGTGAACGTATTTAGAGCACCAAGCACAATGCCTGCTGCCCTGTAAGTGGAAAAGTCTGTGGTTCTTATGGATGTCCTCTTTCAGGTTTCTGATACAGCACTGATTAATTCCAACATCTTCTATGGAGGTCTAAGCTAAGGCCACAACAAATCACATAAACAAAGGAGAAAAGCTTCAAAATTATAGGTTGGGCAAAAAGAATACTAGTGTTAAACATTAAATATTTCAACTGCCTTGCCTTAAAAGCTTCAAGCTGAGAAAAGAGGCTAGGTGTGTAGACAAAGGTCAACATTTCAAGGTAGTGGGCCGGGGATTTAGCTCAGTGGTTCCAGTGCCTGCCTTGCAAGCGCAAGGTCCCAAGTTTGATCCCCAGTACCAACAAACAAACAAACATTTCAAGGTAGAGCATTTGAACAAAGGAAAACATCAACCATTAACATGATGATATAAATGGATTTACAAGGTTGCAACTACAAAATGACTTGAAAGTTATGACAATAATCTTGAAACTAAAGAAATGACAGTTTATATCTAGGAGCAAAACTTTGGGCAACTTTCATTAGGTAAGACATTACTTACACTTTTGAAGGAAGCTGCAAATTCAGCAACACCTGGCACTACAAAGAAAGAAAAAAAATGATTCATTCAATGAACATGTATGTGCTCAGGCACAGGGATTCAAATAATATTTTTTTTAATTCAAATAATATTAAGGGGGGCAGGGATGTAGCTCAGTGGCACCACGTCTGCCTGACAAGCGCAAAGTCCCAAATTTGGGGCAGGGAGAGCGCGCGGCAGCACTGCCTTCAGGTAGCTTACAGTCTGGAAGAGGTCAGAGAGTAAACCAGTGACTCTAATATTGTCTTTTTTTGTGTGGTACCAAGGATTGAACTCAGGACCTTGCACTTGCAAGGCAGGCACGGTGCCACTGAGCTAAATCCCGGGCCCAGACTCTAATATTAAGTGCTCCAAGAAAGATGGCAGGATAATGGGAGGACAAAAATGGACATGCAAATCAGCAAAAGCTTCTCAGAGAAAGTAATATCTCAACTAAGCTTTAAAGGACCCGCAATTAGCTGGGTAGGAGGGCAGCCAGACATAGTATCTCTTACCAGCAAGTTTAAACTCTCTTTTAGTTATGCTGATCTCTATCAATCCAATTAGTTATTTAACTGCCTCAAAGAACCATATTAAAAAGCAGAAAAGTAATAATTATTACTTAAAAGTGAAATAACATTCAACTTCATTAACAGAGAAGTGCAAACTAAAAATAATAAAGAAAAGCCGGGCCAGCACATGCCTGTAATCCTAGTACTCAGGAGGCTGAGGAAGGAGGACTCCCATGAGTTCAAGGCCAGCCTAAACTAGAGTGAGACCCTGTCTCAAAAAACAATAAAATAATGGGCTGGGGATTTAGCTCAGTAGCGCTGCTGCCGGCCTCACAAGCACAAGGTCCTGAGTTCAATCTCCGGTACGGAAAAAAATAATAATAATAAAGATTGGAGGGCTGGAGATTTAGCTCAGTGGTTTCACCACCTGCTGCGCAAGCACGAGGACCCAAGTTCAATCCCCGGTACCAAAAAATAATAATAATAAAAATAAATAAAGATTGGAGACATGAGGTAATACATGAGAAAATGAACACTCAATACACAGTCATCTTCTTCCATGTGCACAAAAGTCTATGTGCCAGGATATTATTCACTGATAAACTGTTTGAAAAAATAAAACACTGGATACAACTTAGGTTTCCAGAGAGGGCACAAATATACAAATTATAATATATCTATATAATAAAATATATTTGAAAGAATAAAATAGACCTATACATACCAACATTCCAAAATAGAAAGATCCATTAACAAATAAGATGGTGTAATAAGTTAAGCTTAAGACTGTGTACATGACTGTCATTATAAAAAAACCCTCTCTCTATATAAAAATGTTTGCTTATCTGTATAAGCATAAAAAAGTCAAACCAATTTGTACAAAACTATTAGCAGTAATTTTTTAACAGTGATTAAAGGAAATAAGGAGATGCTTTATGTATCTTCATAGTATTATCTGAACTTATATACAGATTACTGGTTAAGAGTAATTATTATTATTATTTTTTTTTTGGTACCGGGGATCAAACTCAGGTCTTTGCGCTTGCATAGGTGGCGAAACCACTGAGCTAAATCCCCGACCCAAGAGTAATTATTATTAAGAGGCTCCTCATCATTTCCTGCCAGTGTTCTGAAAAAAATAAAACTATCAAAAAGCTACTGTTAACATTGGACATCCACCTTTTCTCTTCCTTTTAAAGTACAATAAACACTTGAATCATTACTGTTATATTAGAACACTTCAAAAATTTTTCAAGGAAGCACAAGTCTGACATAAAGAAAGCAGAGACTAGTTCGATCCCCCATACCAAAGGAAAAAAAAAAAAAAAAGAAAGCAGAGACTCACATTGTTCTGGCCAAAGATCTGGTGAGGCTCGATCAAGTTTTTCAAAACTTAGCAAAGATGCTTCCAAATCTGTCCCTGAAACAAAGCAATCATCTTAGACTAGACAAGAATACATTGCAACATTAAAGAATATAAACTAAAGCACTCAAATGGAAGTCTAGAGATTTGAGTTCTATAACTCAACTGATGCTACTGGGTCAGGATGGAATATAAATAAACCATTCTTTCTCGCCAAATCTTACTTTTCCAATCTATAAAACGGGAGTGGTATTTTAGAGGTGTTAAAAAAATCAACCTAATCTGCACCTTCATTCACACCCTTGGACTTCCCTCTATTTATAATAATTTTAGTGTCCCCGCTCCCATGAAAGATAAACTCCTTGGCCAGGGCTCTGAATGCACATTCTCTTGTTCTGTCAAGGCATTATCTTGAATAATCTTGCTCTTATACCATCATTTTTACTTTCTCTAGGCTCACACTCAACACCAAGCAATCATGCTCTAGCATCTCCCTTCTTTAAAAAGAACTCTCCCTTAATCCCATGATCTCTTGCACACTCTTCACAGCAAAAGTTTTGTTTGGTTTTTTTGTGGTATTGGTCTCTGAACCCAGGGCCTCTTAAATGCTAGGCAGGGGCTCTCCCACTGACCCACCTCCTGGCACTTTTTGTTTTGAAACAGGATCTTGCTAAATTGCCCAGCCTCACCTTGAACTTTCAATCCTCCTGCCTCATTCTCCTAAATGGCTGAGATACAGGCATGCACCCTGCACCTGGCACAAAAGTTCTTGAGTTTCATATTCTGTTGTTTCCACTTTCACACCTCACACTCTCTCCTTAACCTACAACAGTCAGGCTTCTGTCCCTACATCTATGGAAACTATTGTTGATAAGGTCACCTATGACCTATGTTACTAAATCCAGCGGTCATTTCTCTTTTCTCTCTTATATGACCTCTCTGCAGCATCCACGTACTGACCACTACTCACTGCTATGAAACCACTATGGTGGTTTTTCTCCTATTCACTGAGTCCTCCTTCAGCCTTCTCCTCTTCCTCTCAGCCCTTTCTAGGCCATCTCCACACTTCTACCTCACCTAGTCACTCACCTTTATCATCACCTAAAACCAATGACTGTATATTTATATTTCTAGTCCCAACCTTTCTCCTGAACTTGTTATGTCTAAGTAACTACTTGACATCTCTCTCCACTTACATGTATGAAAAATCACACTTTCCCAATCCTCTCTATCTCAAGAAACTATAATGCCATGAACTACAATTGTCAAACCCAAAATCCAAATACCATCCTTCATGCCTCCTTTTTTACACTCTTCTATAACCAATCTGTCAATAAATCCAGCAGTTTCTATCTGCAAAACACACCAAGAAACCAAACTAGTGTATCACTTCTCACCTCAAAGCCTTTTAACAGATCTCCCAGCTCCTGTATTTAATCTTTCTCTCCCCAAAATCAATTTTGCACAAAGTAATCAAAAGTGATTTTTTAAAAAGTGTTACTGTCCATTTCACTCTCTAGTTTAAAGGTCTTCTCAGCCAAATTAGTGAGTGTCTATCTACTACGTCCTATAAAATCCTACATGATCCAGCTCCTAACTAATTATTTAACACCACTTTCTTTTCATTCTTCCTCTGGAACACAGGTATTCAACATCTGTTGAGCATTTACTGTGTACTTTGAGTGCTAGCTACTTACATAGTTAGTTAATGCTATAAACAGTGGCTCTTAACATTTCCTGGGTAACCAGTATCTTTGGAAATCTAAAAAGACGTGAATGCATTCACTGGCCAGAAAATGTATGTATGTGTAATACTTTTCAACATGAGCTTTTCTCTAAACTAAATTTGTTTTGGCGCAGATTTAGCTCAGTGGTTCCACCGCTGCCTCCCAAGCACAAGGTCGAGAGTTCGATCCCCTGTACCAAAAAAAAAAAAAAAAGATTTCTAAACTGAATTTGTTTTAACAAATTTCCAAGAGAATTTCCAATGACATTATAATTGGGAAGGAACTGAAGTCTAATACATTGATTTATCTAAATCACCCAAAACTGCTCAAAAAGAAGAGCTATGTGTTAAGAACATGTCATTTTGCAAGTTCCCAAGGAATGTGACTAATGAGGAGCTCAACCTTAATAAAAACAAACTTAGTAGCTGGGTGTGGTGGCACATGCCTATAATCCCAGCACTCAGGAGGCTGAGGCAGGAGGATCACTGTGAGTTCAGGGTATGCCAGGGCTACAGAGTGAGTTCAAGGCCAGCCTGAACTGCATAACAAGACCTTCTCTCAAAAACAAAAAACACCTTTCTGTGAGGTAGAATCCAATAACCAATGGAGTAACCTTATGATACCACATTCTGGGACAAAATTCTGATTCTGTCACGAGTCTTAGTCTTATAAATTACGTAATTAGACAGCTTTACTTGCATTTCAATTTTCTCTTTTTAAAAAGAAGTTCCAATAAATTTAGCACGAAAAAGACAAAAAGGTAAATGACCTAATCTTAGTTTAAAATGAACATTTGAATTAAATTTTAAAGACAGAGACAGATGGAACACTAAAAATAGAAGTGAGATCACTGGGAAGTGGACTATTTTATGATGAGATACTTATTTACAACTTTAATTTAAATCCAGAGTGTTCAACTTCATTTTATCAGATTATAAAGATAAGACTAGATGGGGAATAGTATAATTCTGAAAGAGATGAGAAAGAAACTTTTAAAAAATCAAGGTTGCAAACAAAGTGACCATAGAGACAATGAGACAACCAAAGGGAAAAACATACATTTCCAATACCCTTCTTGTCCAAAGAAAGAAAAAGAACTGAGGGAAAAAAAACACAACACAAGTTAGAGGTGATGGTGCACATCTGTAATCCTAGCATTCTGGGAGGCTGAGGCAGGAGGATGGCAATTCTGAGCCCAACCTGGACAACTTATCAAGACCTTGTCTCAAAATTATTTTTAAAAATGTTTTAAAAAGACTCGCAATGTAGCTCAGTCTGAAGATCCTGGGTTCAATCCAAAAAACAACTTAATAACAAGCTAAAAGTTTTAAGCAATTAGGATCTGGGATGTAGCTCAGCAGCACAGCACCTGCTCCGTCTCTAGGTCCTGAATTACAAGTTTTAAACAATTAGCTCTATGTCTGTCACATGGCTGATTTTGTGTGTATGTGTACATGTGAAAGTAGCATAACATAAAATTTATCATTTCAACAATGTTTAAGTGTACAGTTCAATGACATTAACTGCATTAATTTTTTTTTTTTTTGAAACTGGGGATCGAATTGTGCTCACAAGGCAGGAAGCAGAACCACTGAGCTAGATCCCTGGCCCTTAACTCCATTAATATTGTACAACCAACATCATCCATTTCCAGAATTGACTCACCTTCTCAAACTGAAACATAAACTCCCCATCCCCTTGGCTGACTTTTTAAATGCCATTTCTTTTCTAGTGGAAGAAACTTTTAACACAACCTGAACATCCATAATTTCTCATGGAGTATGTACTTGTGCTCAAAAGACTTAAGACTCGGTTGAACTTAAAATTTTAAAATCAGGTAAGATATACCAAGATACATCATGTAAAGGTACAAGATCCTAATGATGAATGTAACTGTATTTTATACCTAAAATGTGCCAATAAATTTAATGGAAAAAAAATCAGGTAAGATATTACTTGTGCACATGTTCATTGAAGGCTGACTGCTTGCCAGGCACTGGGTGAAACCTGGGATCCAGCTACAACAAACAAAACAAACTTGGAATTTATAATCAGGCATGAAAAGGGCAAAGTTAACAGAACAACTATGCTGACAATGAATATACTCATAGTGAATAGTGGAAGAGCAACTCCAAATACTGTGTTCTAGTTAAGCCTCTTTGAGATGAGACATCTAAAATGAGAACTGAACGAGCAGTGGGACAGGGTGGTGCACGCTTCTAATCCCAGCACTTTGGGAGACTGAGGCAAAAGGATCCCAAGCTCCAGCCTAGCCTGTTGAGCAACTTGGTGAGATGGTAGCTCAATTTTTTTTTTAATTTTTCAAAAAGAGATTGTGATGTAGCTCAACGAGAAGGTCCTGGGTTCAATCCCCAGTAAAATAAAAATAAAATCTGAAACTGAAAAAATGATCCCATGTTTGAATCATCCACCTCCCAAAGCACCTACCACAGGAGGTATCTATCCAACATAGCTCTCCTTCCCCTCAATTTCCTCATTCCTAAAATGAATGTCCAAGATTCTTTCCACCTACAGAACATGTTTGAAAAGGGAAAACTACCTATCAATGAAATCGGTGCAGGGATAGGGGTAGCAGAAGCAAAAAATTAAATGAGTTCAAAACGGACTGCGAGACTCCACATCATTAAAGCAGAGTACACCAAAACCACCCAACTGCTACCTGAAATGACTTGCATTTTAGACAACACATAAGCAGAAACTGTTCGTTCTCTCAGCCCGAGGAAACAACACACAGAGACCCAAGAGAGGCCGAGACATGCGTAAGACCATATTAAAAACCTCAATACTCCTTGCCTTTGAGACTGTCATGGTGAGAGAATGAGAAGTCCCTCCACTTCTCTTTATTTTGTTGCCAGGGCAACAGCCCCAAACTGAGAAGATAGCAGAGAATCACTGTTCTCTTGCGGACCAGTCCTGGGGTAAGGTCAGCCACCAAGTGCAGCTAGAGCTTGAAGAACACTTCAATGGGACGCCCAGGGAAGGAGAAAGCTACCTTAAGGCACCTCCTTTCCCCTAGCAATATTCCCTCTTCAACCCTTAACCTCACCCAAATGGAGCTAGGGGAGGGCCAGGATGAGCCCCGTCCTTTCGCGGGGAGTCGGTCCTTTGCAGGTGTCCTCCTTCACCCGCCTGATACACAGAAGGGAATCTGGGTAACTCCAGAGACGCTGTGAAGAGCTGGCGAGCTGAAGACAGGGACGCATCCCAAGGCAAAGACGTAGAAAAGAAAGAGGAACCCAAGAAAGAAGTGTTAGTGCGACGGGCAGGTGGGGAGTGGAAGGTTTCAGAGAAGCAACAAGACTGCCGGCCAAGGATCTCTAAGCCGGCTCTTACCGTCAGTGGGAGACGCCATCTTCCAACCCATATCACGTGATGTGGCCAACCGTCGGCGGGAAAGTGAGGCTTCATAAGCCACGCCCCGAAAGTGGTAGCCTATCCCCAACTCGCACCTCTGTCTCGTTTCCCCGCCCCGCAGGGCAATATTTGACTAGCACCGCCCCCCTGATAGCCACGCCCACGCGCTGTTGTTAAGGTGGAGCCACGGCAAAGTTCTTGAAGGAGCTTATTTACTTTCCTCGTTCAGGGGGCGGGGCCTTGAATGTATGTGGCCAATCGAGGTTTCGGGTTAGGGGGCGGTGTCCCCTCGTGCTTAATATAGAGTACCCAAATCTCTACGAGGGGACTCGATATCTCCGCCTATAGAATTAGCTGAGGTGGGATGGGGCAAGGACTGTTTTGCTTCTGACCAATCACATATCCCCAAAGCTGCAATGAGGTGGGGTGGGATCGGATGTTCGCGCGAGTGATTGGCTAGAGAAGATGGTTCTTTTCCCCAATGAGGCCCGGCAGGATGGAGGGCGAGGCTTGGAGCTCGGGCTGCACTGGCAGCGGAGGTGCAGGGAGCCGAGGAGAGGCGGCCGAGAGCCATGGCGGCGGTGGTGAAGGCAGCAGCGGTGCGGGCGCGGATTCTACAGGCGAGTGAGGGTGGCTCCGAAGCTAGGAATGGATCCTTTCCGCACGCTGTCTGAGCCATGCTCCAGCAGGATCGACTTTTGGGCCAACCCCTTCTGGGCCCACCCGACCCTGCGTCCCTGTCCCACTCTCTCACTTCCTACGGTCCCTCGCCTTGGACGCAGCCCTGGACTGTCGCACCTGGCCCTATGCCCTTCCAGTCCTGAGCCTCCTCTTTTCGGGTTCTGGCCCACTCTTCTCCAGTCCTTTTGGGTCTCTGCTTGCTTGCTGTCACCTCGGTCCGACCACCGTCTTTCCCTTTCACCTCTGCACCAGTCACTTCCCTCTCCCCAGAAACGCCCTTTTCTGGTCACCTGTCTTAGACTTCTTTCCCCTGCTGGGAGCGAGACACACACACACACACACACACACACACACACACACACACACACACACACACACGCCATCTTCTCTGTTCTTAATTCGAAATGAAGGGGGAGGATGCGTGCAGGGGGCTAGGGGCGAGGCTCAGTAGTTGAACTTTGAATCTCCTAGAAGCCTACAGTAGGTTTTCACCAAAGGCAGCCCTTTGGCAGGCTGTTTTTCCCACCTGTTTTGCTCTTTGTATTTCCACAAGTTTTGGACTTTCTTGCCAAGAAATTTAAACTTTCAATGAAGTTACAGTGTTTACATTGGAGGTAAATAAAAGGCACGTTGTTAATCTACTACTATATTTCATATAGTTCAAAGGACTAAACATCTTTCCAAAACAGGTAATAGAAAATGAGAGGTGAGGAAGACCAGAAGTTCTAAGCTCTTACCCCCGAGACAGCTCTTTAAGGACCAACACACTCTCCACTCTGAGTTCGCTCTGAAGCCAGCCTAAGGAAAAGTAGTAGAGCTATAGAAACTGCATCCCTGAGGCCTGTGGTCCCCAGCTCTGTGCATAGCCTTTCCCCTGTTTCTTACAGCCTAGCAAAGACAGACCATGAGGCAAGGTTTGCTTCTGGCAAGATACTCAAACCTGCAAGCATTGATCTTATTTCATCCGGCCTGGGATCGTCTGTATTGTTATGCTTTTAGGTAGTATCATTATTTATCAGATTTCAGTGTGTTCTACTGCAGAAATGTATGCAGTTTTAAGATTCTTGGCAGAGTCAGCCAAGGTTCATGTTTGAATATGCAGTTTAATGAGAGGGTGGGGAATGAGTGGGAGGGGTTAGATCGGTTTGACTTCACTCATTTCTTGCAGTGATCCGCTTCTTTTCTACCATCTTTTTTTTGGGGGGGGGGGTTACCAGGGATTGAACTCGGGTCTTCAGGCGGCAGAACCACTGAGCTAAATCCCTGGCCCCTTCTAGCATCTTTTTTTAGTAGCAGGAAAACAGTTTCCATCCTGTTTTCCACTATTAGCTCTTCTTGGAAATCTTTTATTGAAATTAGCTTTTTTCCTTTGCCTGTACTCCCATCACAGTAAGACTGAGAATCTTAAGGAGGTATTTTGTCCTTTGTACCAAGGAGGAACATCTCTCTTCCTATGTATTTTATTTTAGAGATGTTACACCCAGTGAGAGAGAACCAACCAGAGACCGATATTAAATCCACACAGGAGTTTATTACCGGCCGGGACCCGAGCTGAGCATCGGACTCGAGCCTTGACTGGGGGTTGGCAAACATGTTTTATACACCTTTGAGGCCAACAGTTTCTAGGCCCCCCTATGGGATAGTAAAGCAAGTAAAAGGTACAGAAGGGGAACGTCCTGCTGTTAGAACATTTGTAAAACAATAGTTGATTAATTGTTATTTCTAAAGAGACTTTCTAAGGGGAGGAGGTTTTTAAGCTTCCTCCTTCTGAGTTCATCTAAAGGGCAGGCATGTGGGTCAAGCAGCAATATGGAGTCTGGCTTGCTAACTAGGGTCCTTCAAGAGACAGTATTTTTTTATTCATTTGAAGAAACCTAACTGACTTGGAAAAGACCAGAAATAATAATCCTTAGCCAACTAGGAGTTGTTATAACATGAAACTTTGATAGTCTGAGCCAGGTGTAATGGCTCTGGCTCTGCAGCCCTAGCTATGTGGGAGGTAAGAGGGTTGCTTGACACCAGGAGTTTGACACCAGCCTGGATAACATAGCAAGATCTTGTCTCAAAAAAAAGAACAAACAACAACAAAACAAAACTCTAAATTCTGGTAGTCATGAATATTAGAGAACTAATAAAAAGACTCTCTAGATGGGGTGTGGTGGTACTCTGGGAGGCTGAGGGAGGAGGATTGCAAGTTTAAGGCCCTCCTGGGAAACTTAGCAGGACCCTGTCTTAAAATAAAATTACAAGGGCTGAAAATATAGCTCAGCACTCCTTGGGTTCAATCCCCAGTACTGAAAAAATTAAATTAAAAAGAAAAATGATTTATAATGGTTGCAAGTTCATGTTTTAAGTATGTAGCTTATCATATTATCAAGGCTATATCTAAAATCTCTCTGTTCCTTGTGATATTATCATTTCCATTCAGAATTAGGAAAACTAGTCTTAAAGAGACTCACTGACTTACCTCAATAATGTGGTACAAAGACTACAAGCTTCACAATCATACTTAGATTTATTTTTATCCCAGCTCCACCTCTTTTTTTAGAGAGTACTGGGGATAGATCCCAGGGATGTTCTACCACTAATCTACATCCTCCCAATTACTGGGATTATAGACATGTACCAGCCTGGGGAGCACAGTGAGAACTTATCTCAAAATAAAAAATATTTTTAAAGGACTGGGGATGTGGCTCAGTGCAAAGGCCCCAGATGTAATCCCCAGTAACAGGCACGCACGCACATACAACTTAAGTGATCTAGAATGCTCAAATTGGTTGATCAGTGCCTCTACTATCCTACAAGACAGTATGTGAAGCAAAATTAGTATCACATGGTTGCTTGGAAACTACTCATTCTTTCATTCTGCAGATGGGTGCTTACTCTATTCTAGGAACCATGCTGGGAGCTGAGGACACAGTGGTCTGGCAATCTAAAGGGAAAGACAATTCAATACAGTTATTCCATGTGAGATGAGGAATGGAGGAATTCAGCTTCTTTAGGAACTGCACAGTGAGACTTCTCAGAGTAAATGATGGCCAAGTGGAGACCTAAAGTAGAGGAGATAGGCAAATGGAAGAAACAGTGCCAGGCAAGAGGGATCAACATGTGCAAGGGCAAAGAACACAAAACATGTTCCAAATGGCTGCAGCAGAGAGCAAGAAGGAAAGTAGAAGCTATGGAACTAGAGGAGCACCTAGGCATAGTGGTGCACACCTGCAATCCCAGCTTCTCAGGGAGGCAGAGGTAGGAGGATCACAAGTTCAAGCCCAGACTAGGCAACTTAGCAAAATACAAAGGACTGAAATGTAGCTCAGTGGAACAGCATCCCTAGGTTCAAACCCCAGTGCCAAAAAAAAAGAGAGAGAGAGAAACTAAAGAAGCAAAAATAATATATAGAGTCTTCCAATCAACATCAAGGGAAGTGGAAAGGCACTGAAGGTTGTTTTGTTTTGTGGTCCCAGGGAAGAAGCCTAACAAGCCCTTGTACATACTTGGCAAATATCACTGAACTACATCCTCAAACCCATTGGAGGGTTTTGAACAAGGGTGTGATCTGACCAGATTTGTGTTTTAGACCCTCTAACTGTCGAATGGAAACTACATTCAGAAAGCTTAAGATTGGAGCTGGGAACCCTGTTAGGAAGTCATTATTGAAATCCAGGTGACAGACTAAAATGTGATAGAGTGAAGTAGTGGCAAAGGGTTGGTATGCTCCAAAGACTTCTAGGAAAACAGATTCCCAGGGCTTGCTTGACTCACCGAGGAAAGAGAGGAAGGAAACGAGGTAACATTCCAGATTCTTCTTGGGCAACTAGGTAAAGAGTGACCCCATTCACTATAAGCCCCATTGACCTAATAGGTGGGCTGGAGGAAGCAGAGCAGATTGGTGGAGGATAATGTGGTTCCAATTTTCCAACATGTGCTTAAATAGAGACGTGGTGAGGACAGTTATATGGCTACTGCCTGAAGAAGAAAATTCTAAGAACTTCAGATTTGGGCATCATGAGGATCTAGATAATTAAGCCATAGATAGGAGTTAATAAAAATCACCCAAGGAGTATATGAAGATTGAAAAGAAAACATCTACTAGAACCAATCCTTGAGGAATTCAAAGAATGAATGGCCAGGTAGAAGAGGATGAACCAGGAAAAGAGGCAGAGGAATGGCCAAAGAAAGAGAAGGGATCCCAGGGCATCCCAGAAAACAGTGCAGAGGGGGTTCAGGGAGGAGGCAATTAGCCAAGTCACCTCTGCTCAGAGATCCAGTCCGGGGAGGACTAAGAAGACTCCGCGGGTATAGGGAGTCACGGTTGTCTTAGTCACATTTCTTGCTGCTGGAACAAAATATCCCACCCCCACAACTCAGAGAAGGAGAGGTTTGTACAGATTTCGGTCCATATTCAGCTGGCTCCAACGCAGGAGGGCATGGTACAGGAAAAGAGCCTTCCTACTGGTTCTGCCACCTGCCTCAAAAACATAAGGCCCTGAGTTCTATCCTCGATACCAAAAAAAAAAAAAAAAAAAAAAAATTAATTAAAAAAAAATCTTTGGGCCAGGGATTTAGCTCAGTGGTGCCACTGCCTGCCTGGCAAGTGGAAGGTCCCAAGTTTAATCCACGGTAACAAACAAACAAACAAAAAAGCCTTCCTGGAATGGCAGCCAGGAAGCAGAGAGGGTGAGGGAGGAGCTGGAGAGGGAGAGAAACCCTTCCAGGCCTTCCCCCTGTGGCCCAATCACCTCCTAAAGGCCCCACCTGTGAGGACAGGAGGCTTTCAGGGGACGTCTAGATAACAGACCATGAAGTTCTGCCCCTGGCCCCAGAAAAGACTCATGCACACGCCTTTATGCAGAAGGTTTTTAGTCTGTCTCTAAGAGTTGCCAAAGTTCTAACAGTTTCAGCATTGTTGAAAAGTCCAAGTCCAAACTCTTAACTGAGCCCCTGTAAAAGTCAAAAGAAAGTTAAATATTGCTGATGTACAAAGCCACAGGGTAAACAGGGTACTCATGAAGTTATGAGTGGGAGATGATGAAGTAAAGATAATTAATAGGGCCTTTTTAGGAAGAGAATGGTTAAGAGTAGGGGACTCAGGGTCAGGAATGTAGCTCAGTGGCACAGTGCCTG